CCAATTCACAATTCCAACTTACCACGCCCCGTAATTAATTCAAATTGACAGCGCCTTCAAAGCTGTTTAACAAAAGAAAACAAAACCGAGGGCCCCTACTTCCAACGAAGGCTAGAATTAACTTCGTAGAAAGACCTGCTATATTTTCAACCACTTCTAGGATTACACCCTCTTAAAGACCGCAAGTTTTGCGACGGTTTTTTCTCATGGTTTCGGATTCTCACACATCGGCACGCACAGAAATTTCCTCCCCACGTGCCTCGCCTCGCCTCACCTCGCCTCGCCTCGCCTCGCCTCAATCGAAACCCTTACCGAGTACACGAATCTTGTTTCCGAGGTGGAGGCGTCCTCGATGCCGCTCTCCACGCCAGCTGAGATAATGGGAAGGAAATCAGTTCATTTCTATGTTGATCCCACGGGCTTGGTTCCTGTCGCGCTTAGAAGAGCGCCACGATTGCCTCGGTGATCGAGAAAATCGAGGCAGAAAATCGGCTTGATAGCTCGGCTCATCGACCGACTTAACTGTCTCTGTGGAGTCTATAATGTTCCCCCCCTCCCCAGACTCCGTGAGATGGCCGTCTATAAAATTGACGATTTATCGTGGCCGAGAGTCGCTTTTGGAAAAAATTGATTGGGAGAAAGTGTTTCGTGGGCGAAAGAAATTAGACGTTAAATCGAAATCCAGCCATAGTCTTCTTCAAGTTTTTCGAGAGAAATTTATGAAGAAGACGCAAAAGATAAATTTTAAATTATCGGTTTCAAGTGTCGTTCAATTTATCCAATTACCTAAATCGCATACTCGCTCGATAAATGTTCAAACACTAAAAAAAAAAAAATCAATCAATAAACATTGATAAAACTATTTATATTATCCATTACGTACAATCTATCAAATACAATTTCATTGTAACGAAACGAGTCAAGGTATATAAGAAACGGGCTCTCAACTGGAAATGAATTGACAGATGACTTAAAATTTTCCCCTGTAATCGTGAGATAAAAAATAAAACTATCTTTTAAATATTATCAATCGAGGATTTTCTCCATTTTCTCCGTATCAACTATATTTCGATAAAATATTTATCATTTGCAAAGCTTCGAATACAAGGTATATTCTTCCCGCGATTACTCAGCACGCGCGTTACAATTCACAATGGCGAGGAATCGGGGTCGTTGGAAGTGGACCGCGATACATCTTATTCGGGTGGCGCAGCGATCTGAAAGATTGCACGTCTAAATGGCAATGAGTCTGCGGCCAGAAGAGTTTTACCGGGAGCCGTCCCTTGGGAAACCTAGGCGGCTAGCCGAGCAATTTGTCAACACCATTAGACGAAGGCAACAAGGGTTGACTTTGGCGCATCTGCCGAGGAGGATGCCGATCTCGCCTAGCCATATAATAAAGGGGTGGTTAATGACTATTCGAAGGGAAGGGTATCGAGAATCCGGCGCGCAGACCGTATGCCCGCCTGTTGACAAAATATCGGGATATTGGCATTGGCCGAAAGGGATAACAGATTTATCAAATGGGTGATTCCTTCCTCCATCGATCGTTTCTTTCACGAGAGGAAATTGGAAACTGGACGGACGTGCTTGCCCCATTCACGTTCAATGATCTCACTTTTTCTCGTCTCCATTTATTTTGCATCGACGCGATATTAATAGGAATTTGTGATGAAATACAAATTTGATTTTAATCTTGGGGAAGAGGGGTAGTGATCATTTCTGAATGATTCGAGGAGCAATTTGTGTCAGTTTGAAAAAAACAACAAATATATTTTTTGCAAGTTAATCGATTTAAGAAGAAAAGGACATCGAGCGCCATCATCTTTCGATCGAATCAAAATCGAGGGAAATTTTTGTCCAAATCGTCTCAATTTTCAGTTAATCAACAACGAAAGTGAATCATCATCGATACTCCTCAATCCGTCGAGATGCAACGAACGCACGGTCCCTCGACGAGCAAACTCACAACAGCGTATCGAATTCTCGTCGAATCGAATGGGACGGATCGAACGATCGTGCATTACGCGAAACGATGGAAAAGATGGCGATTTCACAAACGAATGGAACAGGAGGGGGGAGATACCTGCGGTCTGGAAGTGGGAATTGCCAGGTTCAGGAGTGAAACTGAAACGGGGATAGGTGGGATGCCATTGGAATAAGATCGGGTTTAGCCGCAGTGTCGGGTTCGAGCCCCGGATAAGTCTGCCTTATCCCGATAAGCCGGTGAGTTAATGAATCACAAAACAGGTGGTGGCGCCACTGAGAGATCGTCTTCGTCCTCGACTCGTCGCTACTCGTGCACCTTCGATCCTTCCTTTTTTCTGTAATTTCCTTTTCTTTTTTTTTTTTTTTTTTTTTTTTTTTTT